ACTCTTTGCTCAACTTCTGGACTTCGGTTAGTGTCGAGTCCTTGTCGGCGATCAGCTTCTCCTTCACGACTCCGAGACCAACGTATTTGTTCTTAAACTGTTCCGTCTGTTTGTCCATCTGTTGGCACTGTTCCCGAAGTATCTTATAATTGCTGCTAATCTTTCGCAGCTCTTTGTCTTTCGTATCGATGACAGTGTTCTTCGCCTTCAACTCATTCTCCAGCGATTGGATCTGATATTGGGTTTCCATCAATTGATTGGTATTTAGTTCACCCTTTTTGACCGAATCGTCGTATTTTCGTTTCCAAACAATCTCTTTGTTCAGCTGATCCCTCAATGACTGCCGAATACATGGAAATAACAAAACAAAACATTCAATTAATACATAAAAAGGCACTTTTATTGTCACATAATTTTTAAAAAACCAATTAAAAGGAGAAAAATACACAAAATTTCAATGAAATGATTGACTAAATAAGACAATTGAAAAAAAGGAGTGATAAATAAGTTGATAAGTGGAATGTGTTATAAATATTTCAAAACTTAAACATTAATGTTTTCATTGATTTGTTTGACTAAATAGTTATCGCATTTGAATTTATAATAAACTGATTAAATGTATTCGCAATTAAGAAAACTATTGACTGTTTTGAGCGACACTTATCTCAACAGCAAATGTTAGGTTTGGGATCAAATTCATGCCAACCTTAGTCTCGTCCCGAAGATCGCGGACTCGTTGCTCGTAATCTTCTCGCGATTCCTGTAAACACATAAAAAACCAATTAATCAAATGATAACACGTTTTGGAGTCACTCGTGAGGACAATGGCAACGATAATCACCTGATATCTCAATTGCTTGGCGTCGGTGTCCTCGTGAAGAGCGCGCAACTCGTCGGACAACTGACGGATGGACTTATCATTAGTTTTGAGCAGATCCTTGATCTGCGAGTCCTTCTCGTCGAGCGACCGCTTCAGCTCCTCTAGCGTGGCGTTCATTGTCGTCATCTGATCCTTGAGTTCGCGCTTCTCTTCGCGCAACCATTTGGTGGTCTCTTTGTATTTGTCGACATCGCGTTTGGCGAGCCGTAGATCCACTTTCAGTTCCTTCA